CGTTATGTTTTTCGTACACCCATGCAGATCAGATAATAGTCCGGTCTAGTGCCATCGTTGTTTTCTGTCTTTCCGAAGCCCGATTGCAAGTTCTCAGTTCTTTGTTGACATTCCGCACTGCCCAGGGAGCCTTATCTTCCTGCGTCTATCTGGTGACACGGAAACAGCTAAAAAAGGTTTGGATGACGTTGGTGAAACAATAAGTAGCGGAGCTAAGACCCTGCTGCTGGACTGGCTTCTGACTAACATCCAGCTATGTGCATTTCGGCTTCCTGGCTTTTGCAGGATCAACGGACATCATGAGGAGTGATGCAGTTTGATTATGGTCTCAACGTAACCTCCAACTAAACGCTTCCTTTTTCAACAACGATGTCACACTTCATTGATAACGTAATACTTGTTACAACGTTACTTGTTACAAAATTATTACCTTTGTTAACACTTATGTTCATTAACTACAACTACATTTCCCTCCATTTCGGCTCATCACTGATCCTCTCCTGGACTGTGACGCTCCTTCCTTTCCATTGTACGACGTTCAATCTCTTTGGACTTTCCCACCCGGCGATATTCCTTCCATCAGTGCTTTTTCGTCTTCTCACCTTCCGTGTGTTGACATTGTGGTTGACTGAAGGACACCAAGCACATAACACTGGCGATGGAGTTCTGAAACGGATCCAATTACGTCATTTACAACTGAAGATTTGAAAGCAATCCTCCAGCAACAACAGACGCAGTTCGAACAATCTCAATTGCGACTCATTCAAACTCTTGTTCAGTCCCTCTCTTTTCAACCAACAGTTTCATCAACAAGTAACAACTCGATATCCTCACCCGATGCCATTGCAGCTTCTATCTTAGAGTTTCACTACGAGCCTACATCCGGTCTCACTTTCGATTCATGGTACGAGTGCTTAAGGATACATATGCGAATGCGTTTACGGATAAAGATCACTCGTGGAAATCCCGACTCTTAATGCGAAAGGTTGATACCGTCGAGTATGGTCGTTTCATTAATTTCCTTGTTCCCTTGCAACCCAAAGTTCTTTATTTTATGCACACCGTGAAACGACTACACAAGATTTTCAGCGATCAACTGTCGATCTTCAACGTCCGGTATAGTTGTCTTAAGTTGGCAAAACGTAATGCAGACGATTACGTCACTTATGCTGGCATCGTAAAAGCGTGAGTGCGAAAAGTTTCAATTGTACACACTCACCAAAAATCATTTCAAATTTCTGGTTTTTGTTTCTGGTCTACCTTCGCCCCAAGAATCGGATGTCCGCACTCGACTGCTTTCGAAACTTGTACACCAACCGGATATCACCGAATCTGCTCTCTTCAGCACGATACCGCCATGGTACAAGAATCGCAGCACCAGCTTCAAGCAGCGTCTATGCATTGATACGAACAACTGCCCAGCCCAACAAAAACCACCAACTCCTTGTTAGTCATGTGGCGAATGGCATTACGCTCGCTTTTGTGCTTTCAAGAAACAACAGCAGTGACAACAATTGGGCCACAAAGAAGGTTGTTATCGTTCCATAGATGTCAGGAAATCAACCATGCAAAAGAGTGTCCACAGTTCAGCCAGAGAAATGTCCAGAAGGCAACCATACAGAAAACCTCCTCAGTCGAATTCGGTGTTTGCAACCTTCAAAGTCAATTTCGAATCTAGAAGAAAGTTTTTATCAGTTATCGTCAAAGATATCCCAGTCCGTCACCAGATTAACATAGCTTCGGATATTACGTTGATCTCACGTTCCACCTAGGAGTTAATCGGAAAGATTGCATTGTCAATCATCAATCATCATTCACGGAATGCATCCAGTAGTACTTTACTGTGGACTGGAGAACTAATCTGTGATGGCTTTTCCACGATTTACTGTTCTCAGTAACATGCTATATCACCACCGACTGTCCCCATCTAAACTTGCTTGTTTGGATTGGAAAACTTGAACTCCTCGATGTCCCGCTATCACCCCTATGCAAATGTACGCAGTTGACTTCAACTCTAGATCGCAGAGCGATTTACAAATGAACTCAAAGCGGATGGGACTAAACTGGAATTTATCAAAACCTTGCCGAGTTACATGTTAACGCCAAATGGATACCCAACAACGGAAGCTTTGATGGACTGAAAGCTACGCTTACCCCTCCAGCCTCACATCTGCTGATTGGTCGAAACATTTGCATGGTGAACCATTTCAACCGTCATCACGGTGTTCTGAATCGCACTTTTCACGCTGATCAATCTGTGTTCGCTGAAGATTATCGTGATGGTGAGGAAAACTGAACGCAGGATCTGTGTGTAAGCCGCACAAGCCAGGTTACCTATGAAGTGGAGGTACACTCTTCACTATGGGTCCGCCATGCTAACCAGTTGCGTTCTCCCCCAACCAAACAACAATGCCTCACTATCTTGCTTTTCCTACTGACATTCCCCTGGATATTTTTGAGCCCTTACCGAGGTCTAAGCCTCCGGATGAGGTCACCTGACCAGTCCATTCAGTCGATTACACACCGAGAAGATGGATAGATCAAATCAAACGGTTGCGTGTACCTATGCAGCTGGATCCACAGCAACAGCCGTACGAACATCCAATCCCACCGGTGAGGTGTTAGGAGGGCTGCCTCCAAACGAATTCATTCCCTTTGTTGACACTTATGTTCATTAACTACAACTATATTTTCCTCCATTTCAGCTCGTCGCTGATCCTCTCCTTACTGTGACGCTCTTTCCACTGTACAACGCCCAGTATCTCAGGACTTTCTCGCCCGGAAATATATCTTCCATCAGTGCTTGTTCGTCTTCTCACTTTCCGTGTGTTGACATTATGGTTGACTGAAGGACACCGAGGACATAACAATACTCGACGTTATGCCACTTGTTTTTTACTTATTATATTCCGTATTATTTAATATCTTGCTTCTTTCAGATATATTGTATTTTTGTATTGCGGCACATTAGCTGAAGTGTTTATTACCTTCAGCTGACTTGTACTGATGATGTGACCCCGTCAGGAACGACTTTTTTGTGAACACCAACCCTTGAGCAAAGCTTGCAAATCCCATATTGTTTTCCTTGCTCTGGGGATCTCAACACACAATTACCCTGTTAACTTCACTCCGATAGTCGTTACACGCTCGATGAGAGCCGATCATATAACAGAGACTTCTCACACTGTGAAGACAACCTTCTGTTTCTCTCGGGCACCAGCTGCAGGTATACGGGGAGATGTCCCACTAATTTGTGCCCCCTTCACTACATGGTCTCGGATTAATCATCTCTCGATCAGATGGAAATCGGGTGTTGCCCGCCCGAAAACCCTGCACAACCACGACGCGTTTCGATGTAATTTGATCTGATGAGATGAAATTACATCGAAACACTTCGTGGTTGTGCAGTGTTTTCTGCCGGGCAACACCCAATTTCCATCTGCTTTGGCTACGGTCCTAGTGATCGTATTAATCAAGATTCACTTCAATGTGAATCGTGGTCTACATTGAGATTGCTGTCGCAATCCAATCAACCAACGTGTAGTCCAAATGACCCTCCAATCTCTCGATCAGTTTCAGATGGTGGGGTAGCGAACGGGATTGCAGGTCAATCTGGTCCACATATTTTGATTTTGGCCACACTAGCCTGCGAACATAAGTGAGTCGGATGGTCCCCGAAAACAAAGCACTTATTTGACAGAAATGGACTAGCTTCTTCATCGGTTCAGCTGAGCCACGAGTTTTTCCTGGCAGATGAGCTCGCAGTTGCATATTGTGTAAAACCTACACTTTCTGAGCAAACATTGCGGAGCCCGATGCCTACTGTATATCAACAACAAATGATCGCAAAATGTTGACCATCGTGCAATGATGAGATGGCATCGGCGGTATCATTTCTTTGTGATTTCGCTGCGCGGCATCATAATTAGCCTTCCTGACAAATTTCCCAACACCAAAGGCACTTAAAGCAGGCAATATGGATAGGGAAAGGACGGCAAACACCCCAGTGGTATGGTTGCTAGCTCTACTCTTTGCAATTTTGAGCCGAGGCCGAGATAGGTCGCATGGATGCCTGCCTTACAGGCTAGACGTAACAACAGTGCCCACTTTAATCTTCAGTGATTTCGTTCCCGCTTTCAAATCGACTTTCTTCCTGCCCGACCCTTGTTTCATCTTACCTACTGCAAACCCAACATGAACCTGCTAGGATGGTTCATTTCCTATGGCATCAGCAATACGTCGGTACGCTGGTCCGACGCTTCGCTGCCTCGCAACCACCACTGGTCGCACGTGGGCTAAGATACTGCGAGGGTCACTCGGTCCCTACGCAGGCTCGAACCCGCGCCATCAGATTACCAAGCAGATTTTGGATTCTTAAAGCTACGGATCGCTGTCAAAAGACATGTGACGGTGGTGTGCGGTCCCACGTTGCCAACGGACGAGTGCGCGCACCCGCAAATTACGTGCCTGTGATCTGAGATAGGACAACTGACGGTATGCACGCACTGGCGCTGGGAACATGACTGTGGTTTGTATTCGAGAGACGGGGACATTGGCGTTTTGCACAAGATTTGGGCGTAGCATAAAGGTTCCAAGTTTGTCTTGTAATCTGACGGCGCAGGTTCGAGCCTGAGCAGCGGCAGGGCGATCTTCGCAGTATCCCTAGTCCACGTGCGACCGGCAGTGGTTGCATTGCAGCGAAGCATCGGTACTGCGTACCGGCGTACTGCTTGTTGCCTTACTGTGTTAGACGACTGACTTAAGAATCAAACTCCCTGGGTGTGGCTGTGTTCTTATTTGCTGGACCAGTTAAGCCACTCTATCAGTTAAACCACAACAGCCCTCCTTGGTAAGCAGTGAGTAGGTGCACACAAGAACACGTCCAAGCGAACACAGCATATTCAGTGTTTATTATTGTTGTCTAGAGCTTACTTATCTTCTCACGGTAGTTATGTCGATACGACCCCACTTTCTTCACCGCACTAACCTGTTACTTTTAGATATTTTAGCACTCATGTTTTCATCCGAAGAAAGCAGAAGCAAGTGTTGTGCAGTTTCAATACTTCTTGTACGTTTTCCAAAATTTGGTGAGACGTAACTTTGTGTCATCAGGTAGTGCTGTTCATGTGTATTTTTACGAGCAACGCTCGCCACACATCGAATTGGGCCGTCCTTGTAGATACTTCACGCTTTTGGTTCAACTACAGACATATTTCAAACACCCTTGCAATCTACAGACATATCAAGCGTCTCGGGATTCCAGACAGGTTTGTTCATTCACTGAAGTTATTTGTAGCCGAATTATTTTAATGCTCTCTGATGACGCTAGTTGTAGTCCGAGAAATCCACGACCTGGTTTGTCATTTCTTTTTGGCGCCCCATAACTGACTGCCCTTTACGCAGCTCAGATTTTTAACAACCCTTATAATCCCATAAATTTGTATGGCGAATCAATAGAAGTGGACTATCGTGGTTATGAAGCTACTGTGGAAACCTTCATCCGTGTTCTCACTGGTCGTTTACCACCATCCACACCATCATCAAAACGGTTGAATACGGATGAGTATAGTAATATTCTTATTTATATGACCGGTACGTTTTCGTCCGATTTGGATTCAGAAATTTGATAGGTCATGGTGGTGACGGGTTCCTCAAGTTTCAAGATGACAACGAGCTCTCCAGCAAAGAACTGGCAGATGTCTTCGAACAAATGTGGCAGAAAAAGCGGTGCATATTTTCTCATGTTCCGTGCTCTCTTCATCTGCCTTCTATCTCGATCCTTTTTTCTTTGCATATTTTCACTTCTCCCTTTGGCTTTTTATTCATGATCAAACTTTATTTACTAAGATTGATTTACTTGCTCGCCTGTGTGCATGTTAGGTCTGGTGCATTGGTTGTCTACGTGGCGATTTGTATCGCTCATTTGGCATGAATGCTGAGTAATGAATTACGGGAGGTAGTAGAATTTTTATTCCGCACAGTTCCATCGAAATATGACCATAAAGTTACAAAACTATCTATGTCGCGTCGACACTTGCAGTTTTTAAATTCCCATTTAATATCGTAGCTTGGAATCTACGGTTGTCAGTTACTAATGGTTCTCGGAATGTTACATCGGAGCAGTGCGAATCTAACCATGTATTTGAACTACTTCGCTGAATTTGCATCCATTATGTTCCCCGTTAAACTATTTCAGACATTTACCACTCACCGTTCATAGCACAGCAGTACGCCGGTACAGAGTACCGACGCTTCCCTGCTTCGCAACCGCCACCGGTCGCACTTGGGCTAAAGATACTGCGAGAGTCGCCCGGTCCCTACACAAGCTGGAATCCGCACCCTCGGATTCCAAGGCAGGTCTAACTAAATAAATGGTATATTCATCTGCGATACGAGGCAAATTCCAACTCAGCGGTCTGATCAATGGTGCTCTTAAGGCTACGGGCCGGCAAGAAAGCCTGTGTGTGTGTGTGTGTGTGTGTGTGGATCAGTGATCTCAGCAAGGGGAAGCCACCTCGGTGCAGAATACGTTAGGTCATGATGAGGTCGACTCGAACCCAACGATAGGACGTGGTGTACAGTCCCATTCTCTTGCGCTTGTTTGCATATGGTAAACACCGCAAACATGGATGGGCTTAGTAGCAACGTGTAGCATCCGCTCGATCTCGCTTCGCTTTGGCTGTTCGGACATTACGCGGTCGATCTGTACCGTAGCATTAGTCTTATGAAGGAGGAGGTATCAGCAATACGTCGGCACACCGCACCAGCTCTTTGGTGCCACGCGACCACCACCGGTCCGGCGTAGGCTTGGAATGTCGTGAGATCGCGTGCACCAACGCGGATTCAAACCGATGACCTCCGAATCGCAAAGCAAGCAAGCACTACTTCCGGGCATGGGTCGATTATTTCTTTCGACCATCGGACGAAGAGGGGAAAAGGCGATTGGTTACCACTTCAAACAAGATGTAGAAACTGTTTCCACACTCTTATCTAGCGCAGTCTGTTTCTCTGTAGTCTGTTCATGTTGCAGCGAGAGCATACGCCTGTTTTTCACGGAATCTGTGGGATACAGTAGTTAACCTTCCATAGTGTAAGAACGTCCATCACCTCCCTTCCCTAAGCTTGACTGGGTTGCTTAGCAGATCGACATCTGCAGATCACTTGAACATGCGGTCGACGCCATACAGAAGTACATCGCAGTCGCCGGGCGCATAAACTATTCCCTATATCTTCAGATCGTCTGAAAACACGGCGCACAATCACCAAAGAAGCCGTAGTGCTTATTTGACATGCATCAGGAACAAAACGGACCCTAGTACTGCGCTTTGTTGTATGCCATTAGGGAAAAGATACCAGTCAGATGCTCATCCACGTGTGCTCTCCACTTTTTCTAAGAAAGAACTTGCTAATTCGACGGCGCAGTGATCCACCAACGCCACATGTCCTCAGCTTAAGTAAGAGAACTTCATGGCTCAACTTGTTAAACGCTTGTCTGAAGTCAACGTGGGTCACGTCGACTGCTTTTCCATAGTTCTGCGCTTGTACCCATTCCTGTCGCGTCCCCCGCAAATTAGTGATGCATGAACAGCATCTTACAAAACCGTGCTGCGCGTGCTTTAGAAGTGTTTTCGGCCGGGTCCGCTGGAGAAAAGCCTTTTTTACTATCTTGGCGAACTTGGTAAAATAGTTGTAAAACAAGTTGGTCTGTGATTGTCTACTTTGCTGTGGTCACCGAGTAACAAACGTTTGGACAGTGAACTGTTGAACAGCTCAATCACGATAGGCGATACCATGCCGGTAGAGACTTCAGAAACAGTGGATGTTACGTCACATGCCGGGTTCATGCACTGCTTCGCGTAAGTATAGATCCTTTTCGAGACCTTTGCGGGGGTTGCGAGATGCTGTTTGAAATACTGACACCTGCTCACTTTCGGACGTCTGCAACTGTTCGACTGCCTTTTATCTGCCTCGTGGTCGTCGACCAACTGAGAGAAGAGGAATGTGTCCCACGGTCTGCTCCGCCGTCGATCCCGTTTATCATACTCCATATCGAACCAGTGTGGCTTAACCGACCCGGCTTTCCGACACAAATCAGCTACACCATGAACTTACTCCAGGAAGGTTCAACAAACATAGTTTGCGGTAGAGAGCAATGTTATGTGAACTGAGTAGTAGTTTGCTGCCAGGAGCTGAAGGATCTGGACT